ACAAGAATAAAAGTGAGAAAACTGCAGCTCAACTGCAGCTGAAAGTGAATATTTATAAGTGTGCAATCACTGCCTGCTTCACATCAGCTCAAGATGTGAAAAAAAAAGATACATTTAATCATTTTAGCCCTCATACATCAAACAGTGGGAAACTATGTACATCACAATGTGCCTTACTTAAAAATGGATAGACCAACTGAAGATTCAGGCATGTTTTCAAGCTCAGTTTTCTTGTTATCTCTGTAGAGGATCCCTTTTAGATACTGCTCTACTGCTATTTTTAGGTCTGATACCTGCGCAGTCTCCTTCTTGTTTTGGGACAGACTGCACTCCATGCTGAGATATGCCAAGTTCTCTGCTGGCACCTCTTTAGGATTCACCTTGTCAGTGTACATATCAGTCAGTCTATCGAGCCGTGTAATGTTCGGCTTTTTGTTGGTACAAATGGAAAAAAAACGAGAAAAAAAAAAGGTGTTTTTGTGCCCGCAGACACACTTTGTGTTTGAATAATTCAGAGACGAGTGTTAAGTTGGTGTTAGAGCTGATAAAGTCACATCTTTGGCTCCGTGTTTGCAGCTCCTGCTTCTGCACCCGTGTCGCAGTCAGGAACCTGTCCATAGGAAGCCAAATCTAGCTGGTCTGGAAAGGGAAGCCAAACTATTCACTGTGGCCTTGCAGTTTACAACAGCAGACTGAGACTAACATTAAAGAGGAACAGCTACAAGAATAATTACATAAAATGAATTGTAATGAAATTGGACAATAGCTGATGAATGCATGCATGGAAAAAAAAATCCTTGCTATTTATTAGCTCTTTTGAGATGGATCTGGCATTCATTCTTGGATGTATTGTAATTGTTTCTATGTTTTTATATATAATATTAATATGAATTAACTTTATTAATTTTGGAAGTTATTTCTTGATGATGAAAATGATCTATTTCTAATATCATCTGGTGTGGAAATGCATGGATAAACAAAAAGCTGAGTCAAGGCTGTTTTTTTATACTTTCATTTCAGTCTCCACTTTCTGTTTAAACACATGGTTGTATGGAACTAAAAAAGCTATTTGAACAGGGATGACATAATCTATTTGTGCCTCATTGTGTGGCAAACTTCTCTCAAATCAAATAGGAGGGAGTTTTTAATTTCAGTTGGGGTTTTAGCCGATGTTGCTCTGAGAACAAAAAAATACTGGATATACTTGAGAAGCCTTTAAAAAAAGAAGAAAAGAAATGTCCCTATGTTGCTTTGACCTTCCTTCTCTCTGTCACAGGGGAGCGTGCCTGTGGGAGCTCACATTTTCTTCCTGAACAGAAGAGAGCTAATGGGAGCCTGTGGGTGACACTGAGCCCTCCTATCACTTCATTTAGCCCAGGATCAATGTGCTTTGGCCACTGTTTCACACAGCTGCTGCTCCTAAACTGGAATTTAAGAGGCAGATCTTTGAAAACGTGACAGAGCACAAGAGGCACGGGGCAAGCTAAATCTAAACACATACGAAGAATGACCCGGTTTCCCCTTTTTTCATTTGTGTACTTGTACTGGAAAATGTGCCATGAGTAGATGATGAGATTTTGACAAATAGAATAGAGGATTGAATGATATATTAATATGGCAGGACAATGGATTGGATTTTAAAATTATTCTATTTTTAGATTTATTTCAGTGTCTGCATTATTATGAGATATTTTTGAAATCTCAAAGGCATAATTCCTGTCCTAGGTAATTCCCAAGATGCATGTAGATTCCCTCCCATCTTGCATTGAGCATTCTGTCGATAGTGTTTGTAAGTAAAGGCTTTGATGGGGAATACTTTCTCCCTGCTTAATCTACAACGAACGGCACAAGCCGCTCTCTCCTTTAAATTTCTGTGTTAGCGTGTTTATGAAAGAGTGCTTTCTCTCACAGTTATGATCTGGGTTCGTCTTTATGTGAGGAGGCCCAGTGGCATGCGGACACATCCGCTCTGCTCGATCAACAGCAAACTTTCCATCTGCTCCAGTCATTTTGCATGTCCAGCTGGTCCTGAGCTCTGACCTTTGACCCGCTCCAATTCAGAATAAAGAAGAGGAAGGGAAACAGACGGAAAGAAAGAAAGAGAAAGATCGAAACTCATGCTCAAGGGGGAAATCTCATTAAGTACCCTATCTCCAGACAATTTGTGCCATGTAACTAAAGAGTTGGAAGAACTGTAGCACAGTTGACATGTGATCTCATCATCAGTGGACACTGCAAGAAAGCTTTTCCTCTGTCAGGAGACTTACTGATGTGAGCAGTTGTGCTAATCAGAGGTCACAGTGGTGGTCTGCGGTCATGGAAGCCATATACATTAAAATGATCTAGTGGGAAAAACAACCTGGATAGGAAAGCAAAATCAATTTCAGCATATACATCTACAGCTAACCTTTTGCTCCTTGTGAGCCTCAGCCTTAAAGCGGTAACAATCAATGGTGAGATCAATCAGTGTTTACCTGAGAGGGGAAGGATACTCCTCATGGATAAACAGTTTATCCAATACCATGGACTGGAAAATCCAGAGCAGGCCTGCTGTTTCTCTGCAGTCTGCTTTGCTTTTTAATGAAGGAACGTTGTTCCCCATGATAAAAGAAGAATAAAGAAGGCCATTGTTTTGCCTGGCATGATGCCATAGTTTTAAACAAGAGAATCATCAAGTTTAAAACGCACATCCACCAGGCAACTCTTGATTGCAAGTGACGTTTTGCTTTGTCAGCACGGCTCCCTGTGGTTTTTTAAGCATCAGAGGACTACAGCGTTTGTGATTGTGTAACAGTGCAAAAACAGGAGAGCATCACAGACTCCAAACCTGAAAAGATGCACTGGCCCACTCAGGATTACGCCTCTGTAATGTAAAACAAGGCCTAAGGGGCATTTGCACTGAACTTTGAATTACTGAAATTCTTAACAGCATCCATTAAAATACTCTTCCGGAGTGCAGGTGCTGTGGAAGCTGAGCTGGGACACTTTCCAGAAGTTCAACAACATGACATATTTATGTGAACACATACTGGGAACTCACTAGCCAAAGGAGAGGAAGCTGAGCTTCATCATTCTTCTGCATCTTTCTCCTAAACAAGAAGGTTCAGAAAATGGATGGATGGATGGATAAAATCAGATAACATATCATCATATGGCTCAAAAAGTAATGTGTCACAATACACAGAAAGCTAAGTGAGTCAGTTAGGTCTAAAACACTTCTGATGCCGTTTTTTGGGGCCTTCATCTGGTTTGGATGTGGATGTTTGGAAAAGTAATTTCATGTTGTTAAAGGTTATATACTGTAAATATGCAAAGTATGCCATGATTTCTTCTTAATTAATTCAAGAAAGACTTAATTAAGATAAGGTAAAAGTGAGAGAAAATCAAAACACGGTTCAGTTTTGCTCTTTGATTTGTGTGAAAAAAGAGAACAACATGACAGTAAGCACCAGATCAGTCCGAAGGCACTGTGAGCAAGTGTCCTGGCTTTGAATTGCCCCTCCCTTCCTCTCTATCCCAGAGCCAGCACAGTCCTCATCAACAGGCAGGCAAACGGGGCTGAGTGGAGCTGCTGTGACAGGCTCCTGTCAAGACGACATGCTGGACGTGGCTGGTGGGGAGATCTGCGCTGACGCAGCACTCCAAAGACGGCCACGTTTTGTTGATTTCAGGCCAACTCTGCAGTGGTCTGATTTACAGACATGTCAAATTTGCAACGCAAACGCTTTTGTAATTCATCATGAGGACATCTTGGGGAGTTGTCTGTTGACGTTGCCACAGGGAAATGACTGAAATGAACCTTTCCAGACGGGGACGAGCTGAGCTGAAGTTCCGTTTATTCTCTAGTAAATCACCAGTGTATTTATAGAAACGCTGCGGCGGCTGCCCACAACACCAGCAGATAATCTTCGCTTTGCTCCCCGTTCAGACGAGGCTTGAAAGCCTCATCCACTTAGCTCAATTTCTGTTTGCATACTGTTAGCTATTCAAAAGTCAGACAGTGCTTTCATGACAGCAAAACATATCAACTCTGAGTAAATGGACTATTGAAACATCTGCCTGTGTTTCTGAAGAGCTTGAGCAGAAATATGCATTTTTTTCATGCTCAATGATAGATGAGAACAGCTGCTTCAGTGTGCAGAGAGGATGCTAGTTTCTTTTCTATATATAAGTTTAACATTTTTGGTCACTGACTCTGTCATTCCAGCATAAATCAGATCATCTCACTCAGCCCTCATTTATACTAGGATTAAAAAAGACCTTTGTATTTGGTATCTTTCTAATACATTACTGCAAATTGCTGAGAAATCCAAAGTCACTTTTCAGGCTCTATCCCAAAGCTCAGTTTCCCTCACTGCCAAAGACCCCGCTGCAGGTCACGTCTTCACTGGCCCGCTGAGGCGTTGCACTCAGCTGTATTACAATGTTGCTGATGAGGGGGAAAAGGGGATTGCACGGTGTCTAAAACAGGATTAACTTAGCCAGTGAACTGACTGCTCCTCCCCGCATAGCAATCTTAAGATCAGCACTGATTTAGTAAATGAACAGGCTGGCACGGCGTGATGTTTGGAGAGTTTGAGTGTGTTTGGGAATGCTGCAGCCTGTGAATTTATCACTCGTACACTTGCCTCCGTGCAATCAGTTACTCTGAATCCAGGAGAATGAGAGCTTTTTGCCTTAGTGACAAAAGACCCGGTTGTTAATTCTAGCTGTTAATTGGGATGCGATAATTCCTTTTTCACACAGACCGTAAAGAAACACCCCTTTAGTCACGTCTATGTCTTTAAGCTCAATGTCTCCCCCTTCTGGCGACCAACACATGACCCCCGGTGGGTCTTTAGGATCCATCTAATGCCACACACAAGAATAGAAGCCCACTCCGAGCGGAAAATGTAGTTTTTGAATACCTGTTTATGGTGCGGCAAAGCCTTACCTGAACAGCATCTGGAATCAGATGTCCACTTCAGCTGACCCTCTGTGATGTCCTGTGCTTTCCAGCGGACAGTGAGCACGGCCAGAGGCTCGCAGACATGGATGCAGCGCAGCAGCTCAAGTTCAGGGACAGACAGCGCTTCTTTGAAGAGGTTTTCCAGCACGACGTGGATGTCTACCTGTCTTCTGCACACCTTTGTATCAGGGACTACAAAAGACGTGAGTTGGTCTGCTGACATCATTCTCTGGGCGCATGCACATACAAATGACATCATTGCTATCTTCCCTTTCGCAGCTCCTATTGGTAGTATCTCCTCTATGGAGGTAAATGTGGACCTGCTGGACCAGATGGAGCTGATTGACATCTCAGACCCAGAAGGACTGGATGTCTTCTTCAGCTCGGTGGGAGAAGAGTGTGCGCTTAACTCCCCATTGCCAGGTATAGAAAGTATAAAGAGAAGACAAACACTAAAATACTCAACAATACCCATCTAACAGTATTATTTGTGTCTATTATGATCTACAATCTAAGGGAACAACAACAATGAAGAGTCCATCAGTAATGGACTCTTCCGGCACGTCCTGGAGAATCTTGAGAGCAAGACCCGCATGTCCTCCACATCTTCAGTGTCTTCATCCAACAGCCAATCTTCCAGTATCAACGGGAGGGATACGCCTTTGGCTGGATCAGATGACGAGGAGACCCAAAACGGCACAATTAAGCAGAAGGCCACATTACAGGAGACAGAGGCGCTGAAAAGTCAGAATCTGACATCAGAAAGAGGAGAGCAGAAAAGCCAGAATCAGTCACAGGATAAACAACCCTCACAGTAGCGCTCCTCCTCTGGCCCGAGGGAACTTTCAGACAAAACTTTTTACGCAAGAGGCTTCAGATGCTGCTTGATTCCTTTTCAAAACTCTGTGCTCATCGACTTTCCATATCTAATTTGTATTCTTTCGAGGTAAAGGCCATGAACTGTAGATTTTCTCATTAGTTAGATAAGTTTGAAGGATTTTGTCCCAATGTGCTGAGAGGTCATTTTTTTACAGTAGTAATACAACCAAGAAAAGTGAGGCAATAAGTATATGACAAAGCAGATTTTTACTGAGATGTTCTTAGAATTTTTTTAACTTTCTTTGGAGCAATGAAAACCAGAATCAATGTTTTTTTCACAGATGGTTGGTGGGAAATTTTTATGGAAAAAAAAGGAAATGCCATTACTCAATCCTAATTCCAGCATCTTGTACCTAAACTTAATTTTAGAGCTAGTTTATGTAAGAGCACTAGCACTCTAGCATATCCTATGACGAGCATTATCAGTGAAAAATGTGCTCTACCAAATGGTTGTGCGGGAAGTTAAAGGGTTGTTAAGCGTAAGTTTTCTAAATTAAAACATTGTTCCAATAATGCATGCTGTCAGTTTTGTACCCCAACTTTCAACCAGTGTCTTGCTTTAACAATAAAGGACAAGATAAAAAAATATATTTTTCTTGTGTTCTAAGTTAGTCTAAAAAATGGCGCCAGCTTGAGAAGAACCACCTGGGGGGACGTCAAGGACTAGAAGTCAAATCACAAAGGGTGGCAGTGCAAAAGAGTTAATCAAAACTATATAATGTTGGCAGGGTATCAAAAGAATCAAATATTAAGCAGAAGGAGACAATAAATCAAACGCTACCTGACTATAGCACAACCATGTACATACCGTCCCTGTGATTATTACAATTCTGTTTTATGTGGGTTGTGTGTGGAACCCATTGGGCAGGGTCTTGTTTGAGTAAAAAAAAGCCAGTAAAGAGCCAGTCCTCCCCAATGTACAATGCATAATCAATGTAATTGTTTCTATCTCAAATTCCATTGAGAAAGTGTATGTTTACTGTCACCCGCCACGCAAAGATTTAATGTCTGTAAAATAAACAAATACTTTTGTGTGGTCATCATGGGAACTGGTTCACCGACTACAGAACAATGCGTTCTTTACGCCTTCATTCCCAGGAGTACAAAGGATGTAAAGCTGTCAATCTTTGGCCTTAAACCAAAAATGGACTGTTCAGTGTTTAATGTCAAAACAGTGCACTTCAGCACTCGCTGGCTGTTTATCTTTCAGTTTTATGACTTGACAACTCAACTCTGAGCTGATGAGCCTTCACAGGAGGTCGTGGATTATCGACTCTTGAGATTGAAGAGGGACGTTCAGGACAATTCCCTTATGCTTTGGGCAAGGTGAGAAAATCAATGAACAACTGATCTGAGATTGTGTTTACTTAAATGCGAATATGACAGAGACTCCTCAGACAAAGCATCCGATAGCACTGTGGGCAAATTTTTGGCTTCTCGCTTGATTTTCATGTAAGCAAGAATCACCTTTGACAAACATTGAAGTACAACAGGAGACATATTAGAATCCGAATGGATTTGATTGTGCCTTACAGTATAGCTAATCATCATCTACAAAAAGGAGTTCATCACTTTACAGACTAACAATTTCACCACAAGAATTCTTCTTGAATCAAACATTGAGACAATAGACTGCTAGGTTATAATAGAATTTTTGCAAATAAGCGTGACTGACCTTTAGTAATACAACTGATCATTACTTTTCTTTTTGTAAAGATCCCAGCAAGTTTTGTGGCATTTGTTGATCAGAAGTCCATTGAAATGGCAGAATTAGAACAACGCACACAAATTTCCAAAAGGTAGGATACAGAACCATTTTTACCTTTTTCAAAGTTTAAGTTGAAGGGACAAATAAGGAAGTATGCTGAACTCTGGAAAATACTCTGAGGAAGTCCTACATTAACACATGGTATTTTAGTTATGCTGATTGATACTTTTTAGGGTATGGAGCAGAGCTTCAGCTGCAGACACTCATGGGATCACAGACAAAATGGTTCCACCCGCACTTTCAACCACTGGAATCAGGTAATGTGCTCCCATCAAGTCAGCATTTTACCTGACGTGGGTATATAGCCTCTCTTAATCCTCTGAACTGGAGTTCCCAAGCAGCCAATGGCCACATCCATCAGGAACAGTTAGCCTTTTAGCATTTCAGTGATGAGTTATCCTCCCCTCTTTCATCGTTTGAAGACAAGGTCAATGTATAACCTTTACAGCACCTCTAGCTAGGAAACGGATTCAGCCATCCTTCTTGCCTCGCTTCATTTGGTTACTAACACATTTAAGCATAGTGGAACACTAAAAAGCATGCTTGAGCTTTTAACCTTAAAAATAAGCACCATCTTCACATTTGCTTTGATCTATCCATATACAGAAGCTTTCTAATATAGAGACAGAAGAGCATTTGCGGGATTATAAACTTATCGCCTATGGAAATGAAGGGGACTCCGACAACCTTTCAGAACTGGAGTACATCATTCCCGATAAAGAGAAACATCTAAAAAGGGTGCTTAAAGACTGAGGTCCAAAGTTCAATCAACTAGCTTTCATTTGCAAGCCACCATAAACACGAATGCAACGTGTAGGCAACAGGACATTTAATAGCAACTGTTACATCTCCATTTTGTTCAAGAAAAAAAAAAAAAAATTATTCTAAGCACATGGTCCTCCAAAGCCATGGTATTACATTTTAACAGTCATGTACACAAGTACATTCATCAAGGGGAAAAACAGAAACAGGGGGCATACCTGCTGGACTGTTCCAACATTTCATGTGCATGTTTACAGACTAATCCATGGATAAATTTAACATACAGCTGCTGAATTAAGAAATTGCTCTCCCATTGCACGTAAAAAGGTTCAATATTCCCTCAATGCACATTTGAGAACTCAAAAACTATATACTCAAGAAGTGGAGGGGAGGAAAAAAAAAGATTTTCTTTCAATTACAAAACTACATTTTTTCTTTTAAACAGAAACATTAAATAATTTATCATACTCTCCCAGTGCCAGTTTTTGGCAGGGCCCGTTGCTCAATGGCACTCTGCACTTTGCGTCCACGACCTCTTAATCCTCTGCCCCTCAGGAATCGCCCAGGCACTCCAAATGTTTCTATGTTTAGCTTTTTCTCCTCTGCCCAGGTGGTTTTCCTGAGGCCACATTGGACAAACAGAACAGGGAAAAAGGAAAAGGTAGAAAAAAAAAGTGTGCATGTGTGTTTTTATTAAAAACGATTATGACAAAAAGCAAAAGGTTACCTTGGCTTAAGATCTGAGGAGATGTTGTCATAGAAGCATTTGGCTTTGTCGTAGTACTTTTCTACAAGGCTTTCCTCTTCTTGTACGTCCGGGCTGTCCGGGGCTACTGGGGAGTCCACCTGCTCTTCTGCACAGAAGCACACGGTAATCTTTGGAGATTCTAGCAACAGTGAAGTAGCTGGAATGATTCAAACTTACCTATAACTTCTTCCTTTGTTAGATCATCTCTGAACTTGGCATTTGCCGTTTCAAAATCAAAATCAGACTCGAACTCTAAAGCTGTGGCCTTGGAGGTTTTAGCAAGAAGTTGACCTCTGCTTCTGGTCCTACTTCTGCGATTTCCTGCAAAAAAAAAAAAAAAAAAAGTTAAAATCAGAAAAGGTTTAGAGAAAAAGTAACTTGTCTGCAGTAGTTTGAAATTAAATTATTTTCATACCTTGTTTTTGCCTTTTCTGGTTCTCTGCATTTTGGCCTCGAGCCCTTGCTGCCATTTGTTGTTGCATCTGACCTGAGCACAAGTTCAATAGTGAAAAAATAGTTTACCCCCCCCCCCCCCCCCCAAAGGGAAGTTAACTAAAAAAAAAAGGCTGCTTACGAATGGGGACATTTTCCTTCTCAAGCCGAGAACCACCCTGAGAGGAGTGCTGGACTGGACGGTCAGGCTGTCCACCTTGTCGCTGGGTGGGGGCCTTTCCCCTCCTCTGTGTGGCCGACACCAAAGGCACGGTTTGGACAGCCTGCTCAACCATCGGGGCTCTTCTGGGTGGACCGTGAGCACCTGGTACTGAAGGGAAAAGGGCATAGAACTATATCTGCAAGCGCATGTTCAACAATGTTAGCATTCATATTATCAAACATGTTAAAAGGAAATCATTCGTACTTAGGCCCAATGCCGCATTGTACTGCTGGTTGAGCAGAGAACTGGCAGCAAGTTGGTTAAAGTTGGGCATCATTTCTCTGTATGGACTCCAGCGTGGATGATAAGCAGCAGAGGGGCCAATGGATGACTAAACCGACAATGAAGAGAATGAAGGGCTGATTTTAATTGCCCTATTGAGTTGCAATGCAAAAGGCAAACAAAGCCAAGAACAGTTTGTTACCGTACTTGAATAATGGCAGGGTCCCGAGGCAGTCCATGGTGTGGCTTTGGAGGTTCAGAAACGGTAATATCTTTTATGTCACTTCCTCTGAAAATTATGTACTCGTAAATTTCAGCTTTGGGTGGCACTGGCCTGTCGGTGTGCCTCTCCTCTGTCCCATAGGATTTCACTAGTGGAACCCCCAACAAAAAAAAACAAAACAAAAACCAGCAAGTTATTTACCATTCAAAACTAATTGTGAGACTAGTATAGGTGGGAGACCTTTACCTACCTTTTGCTAAGGAAACCGTGGACCTTTCGGTGTCCACAGAAGAAAGGATTCCCTCATAACGAATCTGTGCCTTGGATATCAGACTTATTTTGCTGCCGATATAAGGCGTCCCTCCACCGGCGCTCATGTTTGCAGCGAAAAAATATCTTCAAACGGAAAATAGCAGCAAAATTACAACGAAGAAATCCACGGCACACAGACGACTAACTAATCAGTACTATGCGCACAATTAGTGGGCACCTGTGTGCTTTATAGGACCCCTGTTCACGCGCCTCCTTGCAGGTGACTGACCCACCTGCGCGTAAATCAGGGGTGGATTGTTTAGCGTGTCAGCGTACACCGCAGGGCGGGGCTTTATGTTGTATAGAAATGTGGAAACGTTCACGCTCCCTCAGAATAACCCAACTATATATACTCTATCCATTTTTCGTAAATGATAGCATACACGTAATTATACATATCGTGTAAAATGAACAGATATAGATTAAAAAAAAATTAAGAGGTCAAACGCAACACCGCAAAACAAGATTTTGAATTCAATTCATTTTGAGTCGAAGTTGAACATTTTCAATTTCAACAACGTCAAACTTTATAATATGTTTTTCCTTAAAATTCTTTTGCTTGTCTGTTTTTGTATCAATGTGTTTTTTTTTTATTACGTGACTCAGCGCTGTATTATTACTTTTCTTTTATTTAGTCAAGCATATACTGTATGTGGTTTGCTCAGTTAGGACTTTGGGAGTATACAACGCCGTTTTAGAACACAAACATTAAACGAATAATATTTCATGTGTGACAACTGTCCGCTCACGGAGCAGACTATGTGAACTAATCCCATGACTGACGGAACAGGGCACTTCCTCTAAATGGGTGGGGCGTTCTTAAACGTCTCTCTCCACAACAGTAACTTAACTTGACTGCAGCCATCTTGCCTTGTAGTTCGATTGTAAATAAAGTCCAAAATTTCATCAGAAAACCTGCAGCAAACCAATTTATTATACCAGTAAAGGTCAGAGGATCGGTTTTGGAAACGGAATAGATGTATTACAAGCACAAATATCCCTGAGTCGATAAAAGATTCGATAAAAACATTATCGCCCCGGCGCGATGTTCTACCCTCCTGAGCATCTCCTGGAATGACAGCTGAAGCCATTGGTACCGCCTTTTAGCATGTGGAACAGCCAATCACAGCTCGCAGAGATCCCCAGTTGGGGCAGTTTAGTAGTTGTGCGCATGCGCATGTCAGTCGGTAAGTACCTCAGTTTTCACAAGCTCGCAGGAGTGCGAAGATGGCGGTTGGCCCCGACCCGCTGGATGAACTCTTTTTACTGACAGGGGTAAATAAAGCGGTGGTTAGTCATCCTGCACGGTCTGTAGAGTCACAGCTGTTGTTCTTGTGTCATAACAACCATTGGGGCAGGCACGAAGCAGCCCGTAATTACATGCTTATAGTTCCGCGACAAGGGGGTAGCTCGAGCTAATGTCCAACAGGGACTTGGTCAAGACGATTGCTAAAGCAGGTACGCTGTAACTACTAATGTTGTTTTAGCCTTTATCGCTCCGAGTACACCCGGAAAGGAAACGCCGACAAAGAGAAACAGTGGATGTGCCATAGTCTTGCCCCATCACATTCAAGCTCGTGTCTGCTCCTTGTTAAATAAGTTAAGTGCATTGGGGGGGTCTCCTCTTAACGAGCTCCCCATGGTTGAGCTATGGACGCATCGACATCCAGCATCGACTCTACCACGGAACACGAGTCGGGCAAAACACTTGTTGTCAGCGACGGTGTAACTTTTCTCCCCAACCACCCGGGGAAAGTGGGCTCCTACTCGGTGCCGACTTTTAACGGGAGCCAAACTATGAACTCTCACAATTCAGGAAGCGCTTCCCCTCTCGAGGGGACGACCGCGACGAGCGGCACGGGTACCGGCAACGCCGCTGTCAACAGTGGGCCAGTGTTGTCCAAAGGGCTGGTCAGCGTCACAATGCCCCCTTCGTCCAACAGTGTGATTCAGACGCCGCTGGTGAACCCGGGGAGCGCTGTTGCTGCCGGGGCTCCGTCCGTGAGCCCGGCGGCGGGAGCCACCGTGACACTAATCAGGCAAACCGCCGGGTCAGGTGCGACTCTCAACGGGAACAATACCGTGAGCCCGTCCCTGGCCGCCAATACAACCACAGACCCGACAGGTGTTGGCTTACAGAGCCCAATGGTCAACAATGGCCAGCCGGGCAGCTCTGTGGCGGTCAGTGCAGCAGTGTCTCACGTCATTAAGGCAGAGCCGCCTACAACGATCATACACTCAGCGCCTCAGTCTGCGGGGGCCCCCGGGGTAGACACTTCTCCCAGACCCCCTGTGATGGCAGCTGGAGGGATCCGAGCCCTGACCCCTCACATGTTGGCTCCAAGACTCCCTCAGGCCTCCCCGGGCCAGCCTAGTGTGCACAACATCCAGTTACCCCCGGGTGAGTGAAGTCAGAAATTGTGAAAGTGTGTGTAAGCCCTTCTTACTGCTTGCAAAAATAAACATACTGGATTTCTTTTCCAGTGCAGATGATGGAGACTTGTATACACACCCCTATTTTGTAGATGGCTTGTAACTAAACCACTTGTCAGCTATTTGTTTTAGAGAATGTACCATATTATTTGGCTGTATGTAGACAAAAATGTCAGTTTTCATCCTCCCTCTTACAAGCGGTTTAATGAGATGGCGTAGTTACTGTGAAGTAGTCTTAATTTCACTGTAATTTTCGGTCTTAATTCAGGGATGGTGCTGGTACGCAGTGACAGCGGGCAGCTGCTGATGATTCCTCAGCAGGCTCTTGCTCAAATGCAAGCCCAGGCTCAGGCGCCACGGACAGCCGCACCAACAACCGTAGTTCCAGGCCAGGTACGCTCTCTGTGTTAGTTCCGGGGTACAAAAGGGTCATGCCTGCGTCTGACCTTTTGTTAATTTTTACCAGCAACCATCAGCCTGGCCATAGTTCACCCAAGCACCCGTTAAGAGGGCTGCTGTTTTGGGATAAAATCGTGTAATTGGATAAACGGAAAGCAGGTGGAGTGTTCTTTCTAATGATTTGTATTGCACTTCTTTTCAGGCCCCCGGTGGCACAATAATCAGCAGGCAAATGCCTCCGAGCACCATAATCCGACAAGGCGTTCCAACCACAACGCCACTCACTGCGACCACAACTCTTCACAGAGCTCCCATCCTTCAGGTCTGTTAGTGCCATTTCTTTTTCGATTACTATGAATGAGGAAAACTACAAATGTACCCTATATACATTTGTTTCAAAGTTCACTCAGTCTCTGGCATATATGAAATTTAATGTTATAACAATGCTGTTTACTATAAACCTGGCATATAATGGGCCAAAATGAATTATGTTTTTGTTTGTCTGGTATGAAAACATGTTTTTCTTTTTTGGCTGATCTTACATGTTATTTGGGAGCTGGCAAAATCCCAGAGAGAATGAAGCTAATGATTGCTTCCTTACATGCAGCCACCAAAGAACATTTAGAGCTGGAATGTGTGTGAAATTTAACCAAAGTGTATCTTTTAAAAAAGAAATAAGATGAAAGTGAATTAGAAATTAATTTATATGAAAGTTGTCTAACTTAAAGATGTTTCTAAACCTATGACTCCACAACCCAACCATTGAGTATTTTTCATGCTACTTTGTTTCATGCACTTTTGTCTTACTTCAGATGTTAGATGTTCAGACCGTGAAGCATTTTCTGCAATTTTTCATTTGAGTGCCTAAATCTGTTAAATCCACAAAAGATCTATTAGTGTGCTACACGCTCACATTTACTCATACATTTCCTCAATTTTTCCAAATATCTTCTATCTATTCCCATGAAATCAGCCATCTTAAATTCTGTATTTTGTGTCTAACCCAGTCTGCGGGTGCTCTAAAACCCACACCCTCTCTGATGACCTGAAGCAGTTTGATCAAGATATGTTTAGTTTTTTACTCTTATGTTCTTTCCCAGAGCTCAGTTGGAGCCACGGTACCAGGGATGGCCCCGAGGACACTCGGCCAAACAGCTGGGACCACAGTTACCTCAGTAACTCTGAGCAAAGTAAGTCGTTTTACTCGGGGGATCAGATGGAACCGAGTGGCTGCATTCTGCTTCCTGCTGTGGAGTTTATGATGCTCCAACTATATAAACAATCTGATCCATCATAAGGTGTAAATGACAACAGCCAGTCTTGTTTTCTATCTATATACAAATATCACTATAACTTGTGCATTTTGTTTTTTTGACAGGAGACGATAGAGAATGTGAAAAAATGTAAGAACTTCCTGTCTACACTGATCAAACTGGCATCCAGTGAGAAACAGTCCACAGAGACTGCAGCTAGTGTGAGAGAGCTGGTCAAGGACCTGCTGGTGAGTGAGCTTCAATAAAGCACAAACAGGAGGGGCACTCTCTATGTTGACACCAGAAAAAACTGTTGTGTTCTATTGTTTTGACACACCTGGATAATGCGTCTGGGAGAAGTGAAGTGGCTCTGATGGAGCGCCAGTACTGTTGCTCAGATAAAAAGATTTTATAGTTACAAACGTACCACAGGGTACAATGTCTGTGTAGTGCCTACACGTACGGAGCTATACCACAAATAATGTCGGATTTGATGTGTGATTTAATGTTTTAAGGTTAACGTAGTCCACAATTGAATCTGTAAACACACAATACCATTCAGAAGCGTATACACCACATTAAAGGAAGGTCCCTGTGGAAATGGCAACCATCATTCTCTGCTCTTTATTTGCTTTACTAGGAGGGCAAGCTGGAAGCTGAAGAATTCACCAGCAGATTGTACAAAGAGCTCAAGTCCTCACCCCAACCCTACCTTGTGCCTTTCCTCAAGGTACGGAAGCCACTACTCTGTAGTGTTTGGAACTCTTTAATCTTTAAATGCGTGACTTTGATTAGAATATTCAGGCTTGGATGCCTGGGGTGAAAATCTACCTTTGTGAATTTTTCAGCGAAGCCTGCCTGCCTTGAGGCAGCTCACCCCAGACTCTGCAGCGTTCATCCAGCAGAGTCAGCTCCCTCAGCCAGCCTCAGGTCCAGTGTCCTCCACCTCACCCGCCTCCACCACCGTGGTCCTGGGCAGCCCGGCCCCTCGCCTCACTGCCCCTGTCAGTAGGCCCCAGCTCCTGCCAACTGTTAACAAACCAGGACAGACAACCTCAGTGGTAACCCATATCTGCTCAGATCAAATCTTTCATATCTTAGTTGCACTAACAGATGTGGCCAGCTTTGTTTGTACACTTAAAATAAAGTAACTTGGAGTAAAATTATAAATCTGTTGACAGGAAGACAGGAAATTACATTAAGGATTTTCTAGAGAGAGAAGTCTGTATGATAGGGGTTTCCTAAAAAAGCTGCTTTACAAAACGGTGCTTTATCATTTTGACAATAATACATGGTAGTGGTTTTGACCAGCACTGAGATCCAGACTGTGTAACATAAAGAATGTTTTCATAATTGAGGCATCTTGCAGTTAATGATCTTTGCATTGAATTGTAATAATGTAGTATTTTTGTGCTTGTTCTCATAAACAGCTTTGTAGGAATTTTGGTTTTAGCAGAATGTAACAATCCATGGCCTGGCAGCGAGAAAGTTTAGACTGGATTAATAAGAGCAAAAAATTTGTCGTATAGTTTCTTTGTAAAAGAAAGTTTCAGCCTATGTCAGGGATGAAAAAGATATGCCCTGCGAATGGGAACCAATCACGTTGGCCGTGTCTGTTGTCTGGAATGAGTTCTTCTTCATATGTATAGCGACAGTCATCGAACAGGAGATTTGAGTGTTAAACCATTCTTCTTAGGTTCTTCACTCTCAACAGCCAAGACCAATTTTGAGACCTCAGGTACCCCTAACGACGACCCCCGTTATGACACTGAGGAGTCCGGCCCCTGGTCGCATTGGACTGCTTGGGCAGCAGCAGGTCCAGCTCAAAGAGCTGCAGCACGGTGAGACTTTAGTCCAACAACAGCCCCGTTGGTGTGTGTCCATAACTGTCAGTTTTTCATCCGTGCTAATTTCCTTTTCACTGGCAGTTCCCCTGAGACCAGAGGGGCCACTCCTTTCTAAACAGGTCTCTGCTGCGGCTTTGACTCCGGGTCAAAAGAACAAGCAGAAAGAGGCGGGTGGCACTTTCAAGTAAGCCTTCCGGTCAAGAATTGGTCATAGTGTTGTTTGTCAGCATATATCTTACGATCCTAGAAGCAGAAAAAAAAACAAATCTGAGTAGACAAACATGTAAACACCAGCTTATGAACGTTTTCTTTGTCCGTTGGCAGAGATGATGATGACATCAATGACGTGGCCTCCATGGCTGGAGTGAACCTGTCAGAGGAGAGTGCAAATATCCTGGCCACTAATTCTGGACTCGTCGGCGCAGTGATGCATTCCTGTAAGGACGAAGCCTTCCTCTCCTGCGCACTTCTGCAGAGGAGAATGCTGGAAATAGGTGAGACGGTGACGTCCTTACCGTCTAAATTACATCCAGCCCCCAGCCGCCATTATTTACCGCGGCGTTTTCTGCTCCAGGAAAGAGGTATGGCGTCACAGACCTGGGAGCGGAGGTGGTGAACTGCGTCTCCCATGCCACTCAACAACGACTTCAGAACCTGCTGGAAAACGTCACTCTAGTAGCCCAACATAAAAACATAAGTTTCAAGGTTTGTTGACGGACCCACAAACTACAAAAATGCACCACTTCCCTGCAAGAGTCGGACCAAATGTTTAGATAAGACTGGACCTGGAAAAGGCCCTGCTTTGACCTACAGCCTGTTGTAAAATATCTCCTGTGCTGTCCGTGGTTCTTCTCGGTGGGCCGACTTTTGGCAGGAGGGTGACCACCACGAGCAGAGCAGTGATGTCCGCGCTCAGCTGAAGTTCTTCGAACAGCTGGACCAGCTAGAGAAGCAGCGGAAGGAAGAACAGGAGAGAGAGATCCTCCTGAAGGCAGCTAAGGTACAGACACAGCGCAGTTTGTGGAGTAGAAAAAGATGCCTTTGTGATAGAAATATGAAACACTCTTTTCATCTTGTTTTTCCTTTTTTCATCAGTTAAAGATGACTCTTTTAAAGAGTTTCCATTATCTGGAGCAGTAATTGTTCACTAACGGTTTAACAATAGTTCGTGTTTTGGCATCAAACAGCTTTTATAAAAGAGGTCTTCAAATAATTTGTGCAGCCGACAAAAGTTTGCCTGTGATTTTTACTCTAAACAGACATGTTTTACAACTAGTGGTAATTGGGATGAAAACCAAATCTTGGACCTTGAGTCCAAGTTCTATCATTCAGCTTGGTGGAGAATATGAATTCAAAGCAGACACCTTTGATATGATGACCATAAAGGCTGAGGCCGTCAAATACCCGTGAATTAGACCATCACCCTTCCTGTTTTCTTTCTTTCCATCAGTCTCGAGCGCGGCAGGAGGATCCAGAGCAGCTGCGTCTGAAGCAAAAGGCAAAAGAGGTACGAGGAGAAGTGGAGCATCCTCCATGTCTCTGCTTTCTGTACTTTCTTTACCTTTTCTCTGTGTATGACTGCTTCATGTCTTGGTTTGTGTGTTCAGATGCAGCAGCAGGAGCTGGCTCAGATGAGACAGAGGGAGGCCAACCTGACGGCTCTGGCAGCCATCGGCCCCCGGAAGAAAAAAAGGAATCTGGACTCTCCATCCTCTTCTGCTTCAGCTGAGGTAAAACTTAAGACAGTAAACTTTTCCTGTGCATTACTTATTCAGATTATCTGCAACACCTTTTGTAGAAACGTTGTGTGGCCTTTATTCAGCGCCGTAACGCTGACTGAAGCATAAAGCCGTTGTTGTACTACTTTTTTATGTTCGATCTGATGAATGTAGTAACAACTTAGATAGGCTAAACAGCAATCGCTACCATAGCTAAAGAGAAAAGCAGCAAAGAACCTCCTCAGTGGAGCTCAAAAAAAGGCCCATCTTCTGTCAAAATGCCACTGACTGCAATCGGGAGATCAGGTTAGAAAACATTTTTTCTTTAACAGTGTCCAGGTTCAGGTCCATCCTCTCTCCATGGTGACCGTATGAGCCACACACAAAGTTTTTCAGATCCCAATACGTCACTGATGGCCAACACTGCTCAGCAACCTGCTGTCAGTCCTCAGTGCTCAGAAAGCACTAGGACGACACCCCTAATTAGATCAGGCTGCACTCCTGGAGCTGTCAGCTGACTCTCATGAACATGAATCACTTCTAAGCAAACATCAAGTCCCATTAGCCTCTAGCTGTGTCACATTTCTCACAGAATTTGAGAATTCTTTTCCTTTTCCCTTCTTATCTTAGGATAACATTCTTACTAAATAACGAACCTAACATCATCCCATCAGAGATTGATTGTAAAAGCTGAAATTTGTGCCATCGGTCTCATATCTCTTAAAAGCGTTGGATGAGATTCGATCGGCTGGCTTGTTTTTCCTTCTCATCTCTGTTTCTCGTCTGGTAGGGGTCGGGAACAGGTTCCTCGTTGATGGGCGGGGCTGGCTCCTCGGGCTCCAGACCCACACGGCAGCGCATCACACGCGTCAATCTCAGGGACCTGCTCTTCTGTTTGGAGAACGAGAGATTTACCAGCCGCTCACATTTCCTCTACAAGGGCTTCCTCAAGTAGGCTTGATGTCAGTGCAGGGAAGGAGGAGAGAGGAAAAGAGAGGGAACGTTTTGTGTGTGGAGAGACCGAACACTCCCAACAAAAAGAGTATGCCTTAGTAAGAGACCCAAATAGGTAAGAAGAAGAGAACATCAGTTTGGAGCATTTAAAGGTTTTTTTTTTTTACACCTTGAATACAATCATAGCCATAATGGAAGGCCTCTCTACCTCCCTCCTCAAATAATGCCTTTTCCCATCAGAGCACTCATAGACAAATGGCCCTTTATCTACCCTGTTCCACTTCTTTTTTTGAAGATGGTGTAAAATGGATCATATGTTTTATGAGGAAGGTTTCTTATTGAACAAACCACATGTAGTTGTGCTCTAGTACAGTTTATTTTCTGTATTCAATGTGCACATTGTGCTTTAAAGCAATCTTCTTTTATGAGATCTCATAATTTGTTTTTCTGTCATAAAATGTATCTTTTCTCAGCTAAATCAGTTTGAACTCCAAACTGTGTTACCTACTGAGTTGCCTTCCTAACTATGAATAAGCCATACGACCATCCATGAAAAATTAACCCTGCTGTAAATCATAAAGCCGTAGCTCACTCTGTCATCTCCATTACTTTACTTGATTTATTTTAAGCAGTATTTATTTGCTAAATACAAACTTAAATGAATGTTTAGTTATTTATTTAATGTCCTGTGACGCCTCAGTTGTCTCGTGTTGTTCAGATTCAGAACAGTGTGCATTTCCCTGCACATCACTTGTTTAAGATTGATTTTAGTTTTCAGTGTGAGACTTTTCTTTTTTTTTAATCTGTCAGTTTTTGTCTTTGAAATTACATTAACATTCATCAATAATTTAAAGCAGGTTTTTGATGGCTTCTAACGTTTGTTGCTATACCAAACATGCTTTTAAGCTAAACTCTATTTTTGTAGCTTCCCTACCCGCATTTTTACTCTTCTAATGGTGACTGATAGCAGTTGTGGCTTTAGCTGCTTATATTTTAGTCTGCTACTGGACAGCCCTTTAGGTTTTTAATGCGTTTCTTCCTGTATATTTGTAAATGTTTCACTTAAAGTTTTACATAGCCTTTTGTATAGAATTGAGATTTAAGCATACTGCATCAAAGAAATTACATTTTCTGTATTGAAAAGTTTTAATAAATAATGATTTTACAGTAGCTGGTAAGTTTGAAGTATCTTTTGGCACACTAGGGGGCAGCATTGGACTATTGGAGCATCTTGTGGTCTGCTGTGTGCGACAGTGAGGCTCTGGACATGAACGTAATGAATTCCTTTTAGCCTACCTGTTCACAGATAATTAAACTTAATCTTCGAGCATCTGTAAAGCTGTACGTAGCACTCACAATGTGTCCCTCGGGGACCTCGCATTTAACTGCGGAGCCCGTCATTTTGAGCATATCAGTCAGCTCAGAAGCCGAACAGAATTAAATCCCATGCACAGTCTTCTCCCGGACTGCCTGCTCCTTTGTGAGGCTGTCTTGTTTAAGTCTGTCCCCATTATCAGCCCACTCACAGCGGGCAGGCAACAGCTGCCACATCAGCTGCTAACGTTCCCCAAAAACCAAAGGCTGGAATGATTAGAGCGCTCCGCCACTGGGATGGCTGCCTGACATCAGAGCGAATTCAGGCAGCTTTTGTGTCTGTGCTGACCCAAAAGGAACAATATTTGGAGCTGTAAGTGGAGGGAAGCCACATTTTCACTTTGCTTGATGAAACTAGGTCTGGGAGCCACTAGGTGGCAATAGCTAATTTCCCCTCATCAAACGGTTCTTCTACTGCAACTTCAGGTTGAATTATGTTTTTTTGGGTTTTTTTATAGTTCGACATTCTATTTTACTCTGATCATAAAAAAGTAATGTCTTGTTTATAAAAGCAAAACCCAGCCAGCGGGAAACAGCATGTGAGAGCATCCTGAGCGTGTTCTGCTGCAGTCCGGTGGACGTGGTGATTCAGGTAAGGCCTCGCCCCTCGTGTCTGAGCCCAATCTAATATTTTTCCTAGTAATCCGCCTTCCACTCCTCAGCCCTGCTGCTCTTTCAGAGTTAAGTCCACATAAGCTCCCACTTGAGTGCCAGAGGCAGAGCAAAAAAAACGGGATGGGGCGGTTGCCTAGCGACGTCTCAGTCGCTGCACCTGAGGGCGTTGGGTAAACACCCCGAGCCTGCCGGAGGGAAGAGGAGAGATGTGACATCACAGTTTCCTTCCATGGCATGTATTTAAAGCATCTGTTATTTGTTTTCTTCCCTTCAGTTTGGTGGGCTCTGCTTTCCTCCCAGGGTGATAATTTATGATGAATCCCTAGCAAGTTTAAATGCTCATGTAAATGTGTGCAGATTCACTCATCCCTGTGAATATTAGGGGGGGGGCTCATCTTAGATTCCAAGATAGGATTTGACTCATTCAATAGTTCCTCTCAGCAGGGTGCTGCTCTTGCACTAGTATGATAAGTCTCTAATCTAAAAAAAGTCCTGTTTACGCCTGCAGAGGAGTTCGCTTTTAAAGGCGGCTCAAGGCTGATTAAGGTAAGAACCCTAGAGCTTTATAAATAATTGCAGCAGGATATTTTTTTTCAAATTTGATATCACTTTGTAACCCGGCAAATTAAAAATTCCATTTGCAATCCCACAGTATTCACGCTGTGAGACAAATGCTAGAGTCAAGTCACTGAATCAATTTCATCCCTTTCAATGCTCCTTTGCATAATGTTGATTAAGCTTTGAGGTTGGGAGTAAAAACCCCTCCTTAGAGGGACATGAGAAAATGGCTGGGATGAACTGATGTGGCACAGTGTGATTCAGTCGCTGCACTTTATCGTCCACTTAGATGCACAAATCCGGCCGTCTAAAAACCACTCTCGCTCGTGAATTAAACACAATGATATTCAGCCACCCAGAAGGAATCAAACCCTGAAATAAAACATGCACGAGCAGATCATTAGTCCACGCTCCCTCGGACCATTTTCCTGTTGGTCTCGGCCCCCCCCCCCCCCCCCCCCCGGGGGCAACCTCCCTTTTGGCCTCTTTTTTTATGTGGCTGACCGGGGCGGACTACTTTGGCCCGGAGATACTATAACAAGGCCCAGTGTTTATGACTGCTGCTGAAATGGGTTTGTAAGCACGGCTGAACCAGCGAGGTATTGACGCTGGGGTTAATAGCCTGTTGGCCTCTTTAATGGAGCCGAATCAGGCCAAGCAGCAGGCAGCGCCGGCCCACTGGAGGAGAGCGTCTCCCCTCACAAAGTCATCTCCTATACCATACGGGACAGGTTGTGTACACAACACACTTCTCAGGCTCGCGCGTTCATTAAGCAAATTGCATTCGGCGGGATTGTTGTTCTACAGAGTCAACGCTCTCAGGCAGTTCAGAGGGTTGTGGTCTTCCTATGGGTGAATACATAAACAAGCCCGCCCATCAGAAAGCCACTGACATGCTGCAGCCGCCAGCCAAATAAATCACAAATTACAAAAGGTTTTTCCGAACTGACTTTCTTTCATGAAGGTGTAACAAAGTTACACAAAAGTGAGAATTAGCGTTAGCAGATGAACACAGATTACTGAAGCTTCCTGATATTCCATGCACAACTTCTCACACGGTGTTAATCACTTCACACGGGATCCTCCCTCGTTGTACAAATGGAAATTACCTAATGATTACTGAATTTATTAGGCAATACATTCAGTGCTCAGGTGAAAATGCTACAAAAAAACCCCCATAATGCACAAGAATGATATCAGAGAACATTAGGTGCTCACTCAGAACTCCCCAGATATGAATCTGATGGCATGTGTGGGAAACCACGACGCCTAACAGGACCCTCAAGAATTGGGTTTTACCAGTTATTTCAAACAAAAACTGGAATTTGATCTCTGCATTTGACCCATCCGAGGTAAAGAGCATGTTATGAGCAGTATGTGCACGTACTGGACAAAGGAGGGTGAGCACATTCCCAGAGGTGTAGAGAACCATGGCTATGTCTGTCATAGAAGAACTTGGGAGGCTCCGTTCCTTGTCCTCGAGCAATCAGGAGTAAAACTGAGTCCTGTTCCCTAAAAGCCAGATGGTGTTTTTACATTCAGTAGTACAGTGCAACAGCATACTCCCAATAATAAAAATGCAATATGGCAAAAGTCACATATCATTAAATCTCATTTTGGCATGGTTGTATTTTTGACATCTGCTCTAAACACACACAAAAAAAGTTTAGATTTTTTGTGTTTCGCAGTTTTGCTTGTGAGTGGATGGTAAACTAGAAGGTTGAATCACGAATATGACAAACCTTAATGGAATCCGACTGAAATCAAAATAAAACGTTCCAGCGCAGCTTTGGAATGCTGGTAAACTAAAATATAATAACTGAAAACGATCATGTAACACTTAGAGACAAAAAGGTGCTTTGACTGAACGCTAATCATCTATTATGCATGAGAACTTTTACCCCTGAGAGTTCAGAAGTGTGAGGATGAACGAGAGCCTTCGCATGTGTAAAACACACACGGATAAGCTCGTAAGAAAACAGACGTAGAATTGCGGTTGATCATTTCCTTCCCGCTGTCAGAAGGTAATATCATAACTGCAAATTAATACCGTTACAAATGTGAGGTGAATTATTTATCTGCACTAATGAAGGCTCTACTGTACGTGTCTATTATTCATGGTAAAGAGCCGGTCTTCTTTGAGCGATGATGGAGGAGGGAAGTGGAGAGATGGATGGGAACGGAGCCCTGATTGCACCCCGAAGACCGCCGAAGACTCTCTTGGCTGGAGAGGAATCATCACCCACCGTTTAGAAATATATCCCCGTGTCCCGGGGCGGGAACTCCACCTGTGGCTGAGGTGATGTATGACGCCGGGTTGATCAGAACAGATGCTCTGCTTTGGATGCAGCTCGGGTTTCCCGTTAAGTCTCTGAAGAACAGCCCAAAATCAGCAGCAGCACAGGGAATACCAGCAGTAGAGACAAGAGCATCCCCACGATGCATCATTCATGCTGTTAACAAGGTAGGTGCTCCTAAAAAGACAGCTAGGCAGCAAAAGTGTGGAGGATAGCATCCCCCAAAGATTAAGTCGTACAGAAAATGAAAATACTAATAATTCATATTAGTCAAATTAATCATTCATTGGCAGAATTTACAGGATGGTCCAGATAAAGAAGTATTCAAATCCTTCATTGTCATGATGCAACAACGTTTGGCCAAAGTCCGGTTTCTCATAAGTCCTCTAGTCCTGTAGTGTTACATTGCTAAAATATGAAGGACTTCTACTGAATCTGTGATTAAAACAATACAAAGAAACAGACTCAGAAAGACAAACAAGCAGCAGCAGAGGATACGCTGTAACCCTGAGTCCTCAGCTCCCCCATTAGTCCGCTTTCCCTCTAGTTTATCAAAGCTGCTTGTAAAACAGGATTTCTGACAGTCATTTTAGACCTCAAGCCTTAGGCAAGTTAACTTAGTAGATTTTCCATCTTTTTTGTTGGCGTAAATTAGCGCCTAAGATTTTCATTGCAATGTAATAGCTCAGCAAATGACATCAAAACTAAAAAAAAAACAGCTGGCGCAACAGTTTAACAAGCCAAGTGTTTAAATTTGGATCAAATGAAGGTGCTGAATGAAAGACTAAAGACTTGTTAGTTTCATAACACAAGGATTATGCATGCATTTCTATCTGAATGGACAGGAAATGTAGTTCCCCATCAAATATATTTGGTTTGAGTAAGAAAACTACCATCATTAGGAGAAAATCTGTATTTTTTAAAGTGCCGCTCACACCGTATATTATAGTTAGTATTAGCCTTCATGAATAAGGCCTATAGGGTTGCATTTCAGAGCAGCAAACTTAAAATTTAATATGTTGTTCAAACTGTATTGCTCAGGAGGAAAGGAAAGCATTTTTCAACAAATTCTCTTTCACTTTGGACCTATTTGGTGCTGCACCCTGGAAATGTCAAACAGGCTTTAACGTTTAAACAATTTATCTGAAGCACGTGGCTTCCTGAGCATGAGCAAGGCTTCAGCTGGACAAAAAATAAAGCCTTAAAATCAAGCCTTAAAATCTATTTGATAGTGTAATTATTTTCCAAAGACTGGTGAGCACACAAATAAGAGAAATATCATTTTTTACCCAAGGTAATTCAAATCAGCTCTTCTTTCCCTCTGAAATGCAACACATTTAATCAATTAACTTGTTTTACATCAAAAGGTCATATATAAAAGTCAATTTAAGATATTTGTCAGGTAATGTGACAAAGAATGTAATCTTTCCTTGAAAGAATGGCCCAGGAGAATGTAATCGATTACTTACTTTAGGATACTCACTGTAAAAGTTTTGGAGATATGTTTGAAATGTACTTTTCAAACGCCGTTTGACAGCATGTGTTTGAGCCCAACTCTTACCAGAAACCTTTCTTGTTAATAGAAGATTGTCTCTGCTGGATCGCTCACTAACATCACAAATGGATGGTTGTCAAACAGTTGATACATTCTCTGGCAGGAACATCACATTTATTTCCCCCCCCTTTGATTTCATTTCAGGCCGCTCTGAACCAGCTACACCAGACGCAATAAGGAGACCCGGGGATGGACACCATTGAAGAAGATAACTTTATTTACAACACAAAAGGCACTGGCTGCAAGCCAGCAGCAAAGCTCTTAGTCCACGTACGCCATTTATCAAGTTTGCTTTCCTCTGTCAAAGTCTCTCCGCCACGGGGAAACCAAGTTAACGTCAGCTAAACCCATCAAACAGCCCGTCGGTGAAGTTAATCTTCTTATCTGCTGACCGGCCAATGACCAAGATGTCTCTTTTGACCAGTTTGATCATTATTCCGGAGCGGTGGATCACACCGCTGATAGCTCTCACATTAACACCAGGCCCCAGCCCCGCAGGGTCCACAGAAATGTTCATTACTGTAAGGGTTCATTTAGGCTCATTACGGAATATTCTCATTACAGGATACTCAGGGAATCAAAGCGCGTCTCGTTAAGTAGTTCACCGTGTTCCTTCATGTTTGAGGACCTCACCTGGGTCCTTCACTTCCTTTTCTCGTCCAGTCCCCTGATTCCTGACTGCAGTGGACAAAGAAGCCCCTCTCTAAATGTTATGCATTCTCCCCGCTGTGCCGGAATCTTTCCCCCTTCCTCTGCTGACCCTCTCCCCGTCTCACTAATCACCTCTCCACACGGCCTACCTGCACCACGCCGCCGCCTCATTTTTCTCCTCCTCTCTTCCCGTCTGCCTCCTGCTTTCTCTCTGGGTGTCTCATTAAAGGCGCTCCATCTAATGAGATTACGCTGTGGGGATTAATGGCGTGGCTAATTGATAGACACACAGCCGGAGAGGATTAAATCCCTTTAAGTCCCAAGTGGGCTTTTCGGGGCGTTTCGGCTGACTAATTGAAATCACAGGAACGGACACAATCACACTTCCGACCTCCACTGGCGGAGTGCTTCAGCACTCTTAATTGTGATGAAAAGAAAAGGACAAAAAAATGGCCTGCTTTATTCCAAAATGTAGCAATAAGCAAAACAAAAGGCCAAAGACTTTTTGTGTAATTTCCCAGGGAGACTTTTCTTTCTTCACCACTCCATGCGATTAATATGCAGCTATTGGGTACGAAAAAGAAAACAATCAAGATTATAGAAGTTGTGATTCTTGTATGATCAAATGATTGATTCTTTTTTAATCACCCAAACTTGTTGAGAGCTGATGTATTCTCTCAGTTGCTTTCGGTTCTTTAAAAAGAAGTGACATTGTTGCCACCACTGCCAGAGGAACAGAGCTATCGATAGCGACTTTAAAAATCAAAGACACGTGTTAGAATTAAAATCTTTGTGTGGTAACAGCCTTGAAAAGACCACTGATAAACAAGCTAGGTCACGGCTTATTCAAATCTGCCTCTCAGCTGTCTTTAAAATGCAATAAAAGCTTGAATCTCTTATTAAACGAATGGCGACTTCAATAATCCAACTTTCAATGCAATTACTGAGCAACTTTCCTGTGTGTGAATTCCATCAACAGCAACACACTTAAAACACGAAGGGGGGGGGCAAAAAAACAAAACAAAAAAAATGACAGAAAAGGCAACAGTCTTTCTGGAGACAGCTGATTGGTTGGTGACATGGGAGGGGTCACGATTTAAAGAGCATCCACCAAAGAATCAGTCCTTTCAACAAAGGATGGAAACGACAGTGACCTAAGGCCAAAGATGGCGTCCACTGCCAGATGCATGTGACCCTCATACGATTGTGATCAGTTTTGCCACATTTTTTATGTTTTTTTCGTAGAAACTGCTAAGAAGTACCTTAGAAAACCGCATCCAGGAACACAATGTGAGTCTTCACAGTTTTCGGGAGGGAGAATGACAGTGGTCATGTGCTCTGTGGTCAGGTGGGTCCAGATTTCAGCTGTTTTTAGGAGACGCAGCTGTTGGCATAGCACGCCATAAATGGGAAAGGCTACTGCAAAAAAGAACAAAAAACAACCAGTATCCTATGTTCCTACGCTTCTAAATGAATTGTAATTAAAAGGAAGGCTGGTGACAAACAACTATGAATATAAAACAAGCTCCATGTGTTGCTGACATCCAATTTTAAGATTATATTTTTTAACTACACTGAGAGTCGTTTCATACTTACATACATACTGAATTTTACTGCATTAAAAAAAAAGTGTAAACAAATTTAGGAACTAAGGGCTGTCAATCAGCCACAGCTGATCGTGAAAATTTAAGGGAATATTCAGAAAGGGGGGCACGTTTTCAAAACATGTGTAGTTTATTTCCTAAAGCACACATCCAGTATCTAGAAGAATGAATAAAAGAACTCCAGTACACTGAATAGTAGAGTATCAGCAGGCATGGCTAACGGATTTTTCCAAATGGTCCATAGTGAGAAGCCACCTAAAGGAGGCCGTGTTCCCGTCTAGAAAAGGGGGATCTGAAATCAAAACGGGTAGCAAAAACCGAAGCAAAAAGAAGCAAAGCCAGGCATCTTAACGTAAAAGAGGAATTTCACCTTTTGAGCAGAAGAAAAACACAACTACAATTTAAAAAATGAACCACCTCAGCCCGACGTAGAGCTCGAGAGAGACAGCAGCAACTTCCATGTCATCGATGCTTTAAAAATATGTATTATACAGCGTTTTTTTTATTTTCTCAGTGTCTTTATACAGAGTATATTCATATAGTTTCGGCTGACTATTTTCACATTCTCACCACAGAGTAACAAGTGCTTTGAGTAAAACAGTTGGCGGGGGGAAAAAAAATCAAATCAAATCATGCACCTTTTATAATAGTTTTGTTGGCCTATAAAAACAGGAATGTTCAAGGCGACAGGAAATCTTTTTCTCGGGTACCTTCCGAGTCAATTTGGGGTCCAGCTCTCTTGCACTGTGGGACTAATCGAATCATGCCTACATAAGCTTTGTACAAAACCAAAACGGGGCAGGCAAAGCGTCTCAACAGAAAGGCTCCTAAACTCTTGAGTTCACAGAGGAAAAGGCAAGCATTCTCCGATAAATTATAAAACCCCCACGTGTAGAAAAATTGGTCTGGCACGACGTCAGCGGGGGGGGGGGGGGGGGGGGGAGGTCGTGTGGACAGGTGATGTTTGCGAAAGGTGAAAGTGAGCCGGTCCTCGGAGAAAAGGGTTGTCTTCCCAACGTCAACTCTTATTGGCTTCTCTCGGGCTAGAACTCATTGGGCTATGATATCCAATAGCCTGCCCTGGATCCTGTCCTGCCCTCCCGGGACTGGTTGCAGGGCCTTGGTCAAGTGAGGGGAAAAAAGTGACCGGCAGGGCTGGTCTGAGGAGTGTGGTGGGGGCCATGGGGGTGGGGGGTGGGGGGGGTAAGGGGTACTGCACAAATGGCAACCGATCCTGAGATAGCAGGAGTCTGATACAAAAACACACCACAAAAGGCACTTTATAAAATGACAGTGCTTCTGTTCTAAGGAAATTCAAGTTAACAGAGTTAAAGAGAGAGTCAGAGAGCGTCTCGCCACCCCCCCCCAAAAAAAACATTCTCTTCAGTTTGAGACTAAAGAAAGAGACGGTTTCGGTTTCGTTTTAAACAATCAATCAAAGCACAGATTCACTACTCGTGTCCCTCTTGACCGCCTTGATTTCATCCCCGGAGGCGTCCAGGTGGGGGGGGGACGACAAAAGTTGAAAAAATCAAAACGTCACACTACGAACTTGCCACTAAAAAAATCATAAAGCCAGAATACAGTTGCATGGCAGCGGGGGCCGGGTCACCGGGGGCCCTCCGGGTTAAGGGTCCCTTCCTCACATGTGGTCAGCCCCCGCCTGTGGTTTGTAAGAACTCCCATTTGACCAGTCCCCACCGCTCCTGACCCGAGCCACGCCCGGCCCCCCCCCCCGCGCTGGGCCCCTCAGTCGTCCTCCTCCCCGCCCCCGTACAGGTCGGCCAGCTTCTTGAAGCGGGGGCCCCAGTCGTTGAGGTAGTCGTAGTCCTGCTCCCCCGAGCTGCTGGAGTTGAGGGAGCTGACCGAGCCGGCCGTGGAGCCGCTGCCCTCGTAGTCGAACACCAGCAGCGAGTCGTAGGGGGGGGCGGTGGGGTCGTTGTCGGCCGCCCTCAGGCCCTGTTCACACCGAGAGAGAGAGAGACAAACACCTTTTTTTTTAACAGTGTTTTTCAACCTTTTTTTGAGCCAAGGTACAGTTTTTCATTGAAAAAATCTCGAGGCACACCAACCAAAAATGTTAAACAAAGCTGTAGCCGCCTATAGTCACACTATAGTTATTCTTATTTTATTCTTGTCTTACCTTAAGTGTCATGAATAGGAATCAAATAAACACAAAAATGTTTTTTTTAATCTTATTTTATATTTCTTCTTTCAAATTGCACTTAACATGTCCACTTCAATATGCAAAATTATATACGAAATCTAGTCATCAGGAATTATTACATGATTACGCCACCGGTCACTACTACAGCACAGACACTCAAAAATGGAATATTATTTGCAGAAAATTAATTCCTTATCAAAAAATTTTTTTAGACCAATTACAGTAGGTGAAATATGATGATTTTCTACGGCACACCTGACCATCACTCACTAGTGTGCTGAGGCACAGTGGTTGAAAAACACTGATTTAGGAGGACTAGAACGAGGCAGAAACAAGCCAGCTTCCTGCCTTTTCAGGCCTCGTCAGTCTGTCCACTCATCAAGTGGAGTTTAGAGACACTCTTTATTAGCACCTCCAAAAGAACAAAGGATGTAACAAGGTCTGCTGACCGTTGTATCAGCCAGTATAAGAGGGTTTTATGCAGCTGATAGTAAAAAGTCAGGAAGTAGCGGTTCCCAGAAAGTCTTCCCTCTCATAAGAAGCGATCACATCATTTAGGGACTACTTTTTTTCAGGTGGGAACAGATTCAAGGTGAAACACTTTCAAATCTGTAATAAAGGTTGTTTTTATCTGGCTCAGCATTCAGCGTTTTCAGTAGGCGTTTTCAGAACTGGAGGGTTGATTAAGTCAGACTCCTGCGCTGCAGAAAGGTAATCCTCTTAAAAAAGAAAAATCTTTTCTGACATTTACTAATATCAATACCTGGTATATAATAAACTCCTTTTCATTAACAAGTGTGTCTTGCCTATGAAGAAAAGGTTAGACATCACAGAAAATACGCCCACTCCGAATCTTTTGGCAACTTTTCAACATCCGGTTTGAGCCTGAAACCTACGTCGTTTATAAAGTCTCCGATGTCTCCGGGGTGGGGCAGGCTGGGTCTGACGGGGTACTGCGACTCAGATATCACAGGCCTCTCATCCACCCGGCGCACCCCCGATGGCTTACTGATGATGTGGTCCAGGGACTCGGGCTGCTGAAGCTGGCTCAGGTCGTAGTCCTGAGAGCAGACCGGAGACAGAGAGGGGAGCACCGGTTAGGGGAGGGTCATCGTTTCCTCATAAGCTCATTGTCATTTCAACATTTTCACTGAAAAATCTCCCAAAACATGTACAAATTCTTATGGCAACTTTGATACATGCATTTAGAATAATGCTTTACCACCAAGTAAACAATGTATCTACGTAAACATTGTTTACCTTATAAAATAATATACCTTAAAAAACTCTTAAATGAAAATTACTTTGCTGATATTTATGCACTAATAATTAATGGTGATTCAGTTTGTATTAAACTAAATGACATATACCAGAATAATGGGCAGCGATCAATACAAATCAAATGACGTTTTTTTTTTGGTGCTATCGGTTGTTTTTTTTTACTTATTCATTTAATGTTGAGCTGTGAATGAAAAGAGAACAAGTTAGTGATCCCTCTCTACATCTAACTTTCAGATGATTAATAAATATGCTCAGTAAATCAACATACAGGTGTTTCTGAAGGAAAGTAGGCCCATGAAAAGCCCGGCCATCTGGTACTAAGGTTTTTTATGGTCTACATTTCCACTGTGTGTGGGTGTTGGGACATAGCAAGCATCAAAACTGGCATAAATAGCTGTATATATTTGAATTAATCAGCCTCTCGCAGATGACTGTTTTCATTTATTTAGAAAATAAAAATAAAATAAAAGTCCTGCCGAGCACGAAAAGGAACGGAGGGAGACACGAGGCACGAGCAAATAAGAAATCATTCTAAAAGTCTAAAATTAAATGGGGTCGTGCTGGTGATCAGTGGCATTTTCCACAGTTTGGTCATAGAGTGATTATTGGATGATACAACACAGATGATACAACTCAGGGCACACAATGATGTGTGCACAAACTCACTCCTAGAGTCAATTTAGAGTTCTACTTGTTATTGCTCCAAGGAAATGAAAAAAGTGCAAAGAAATATTTTCCTGTCCTTTTTTCTAAGTAGAGATGTTAAAAGGTTAAGGTGTTTGACAAGGCAACAATAATCCGGCCGAATACTCTCCTGTTTTTATTCACTGTTTGATGTTGTTATAGGAATGTAGATCATGAAAAGATGTACGCAGATGGACAATATAACCAAACTTGTGGAGAAACGTATATCATCCCTTCATTTGCTTAAAAATAATAAATATAGACAATAATGTGACATAGTTGGAAATTATTATAAATATCTGTCTTTACTTGTTTTACGAACAAAATGCTTGGGAGTCCTAACTTTTACAATACTCCAGAATGACAAAATCGATTTTTTTATTCATGAAAAAAGCTCCCCCACAAAGAGTTAATTCTCTGTCATGGCCAATGTCCTGTTTGGGATTTTTTTTGGTCTATTTAGTTTATTCCCTGTGAAGCCAGTTGACAAGAAAAATGCTTTCCAAAATAAACAAGTCGAAGACAAGTTTGATTTGATTAACACATTCCACTGCAACGCATTTCAATCCAACAAGAAGTTCACCGTTTGACCATGATCGACCCTTCAGAGGAGGATTTCGAAATGAAGTTGTTTTGTGTGATCTTACGACGGACTAACAAAGCAACATTTATAAGTAAAAAAAATCTACTTTTTTTCCAAAATTCTTTTCAAATAATGTGATATATATATTTTTTTTCCAGTTTTCAATCAATAAACGGTCATCTGAAGTAAGTTTTGCAGAAAAAGTTAAAAGCTTGTGTTCCGTTTCTGTGTAATCTCTGTGGGTTTTTTTTTTGTTCCGACATCGGTGGATGACGTGTACGGTTCCAATACCTGGTCCTCCTCTCCTCCGCCCTCCTCGTCATACTTGAGGATGTTGTCTCTCACGTCGTCCTCGGGGTCTATCAGCAGGGGCTTGGCCTGCCGCTCCTTCTCTCTGCGCTTCATCCACACCACGAACAGCAGAACCATGCCTGCGCACACACAAAGACAATAAACGCACTTTTTAAAGCACTTCCTGTCTTAACGCTAATCCGGCATTCATTGTGTTCGTTCCTCGGCCTGCTCCCACTCACTGAGCAGTATGATGATGCAGATGAGGATGGCGATGATGGCCCCGGTGCCCAGGCCGGCGGCGGCCACCGCCCCCGTGGCGCTGCAGTCCCCGTTGTTGTCGCAGGGACACACTTTGACCCGGATCAGCGAGCGGTTGGACAGCGGAGGATTCCCCGAGTCGGACACTATGACGGGGATCTCGTACACGGCCGCCTCCAGGTAAGGAATCCTCAGCCTGAGCTGGGCATAATCGCCTACGAAAAGAGGCAGATGGAGAGAAAAGAGCAGAGCGTGGAGGTGTGGGAGCAAAGGAAAAATTGGAAAATTACCTTGGGTACTGTACTTCAGCTCAGTTTAATTCATATAGCCACACATAGCAATAAATATCATCTCTAGACACTTTAAAGGTACAGTCTAAATAGTTCACCATTTAAGATTAAGAAAAAAAAAATTCACATGGCTGACAGCACATCTCACATTTACACTAGTTTATGTTGAGTCAAAAACAAGAGACTTCCCTCTACCAACTCTTCCATATAAGCCCTTTTTATTCAGCCCTTTTTTTAATTTCACTGTCATGAACTTTCTGAACTGTTTCATTTGGAGTCCAAATTTGGGGTGAACTGTTATGTTCCCGGCTCTGGAACTGGCTCCACCCCACCTGCACACC